TTTCCTGCACATTGTGTTTTTCCATCTGAACTATTAGTCTTGTGGATCCTTAGGAAATCACCTACAGAATGCTTTTTTTTTTTTTACTAGAATGTTTGTTGGAAGAGACTCACTGATACACATGTTTTAACTTACTTAAACTTGTCCTAATTTACTTCCAGTCTGGATTTACTTATATACTATTTGGCTTTGTCTGTAGGTTGGATTAGATTCTTTCCAAAAGTCAAACTATAGAGACAGTTGACACAGGGGAAGCAAGGAGATCTCCAACTTCTTTACTAAATGTTGTAAATGAATGTACATAAAATCAGAATCTCATGAAATTCTGTTCATGCAATATTCTGCATGCTGGTTATGCAGAAAAATGCACTTGGGGGCCCCGTGGCCTTGGTTTCCTTCAGCTGAGCGGTCACTAGAAAGAAGAGGACAGAATACGGTCTCCTCGTCTCTGCTTTGGTTGAAGCCTTCATCACTGCACTGAAACTGGGGAGCTCCAGCCTGATGGTGACCTCCTGTTGCCTTCAGGCGCTTTTTACTTCACAGCTTCCAGAAGGGAGGATGATTACTGAGAGCAACACAGCACTTAGGCATTCTCTACAGGGACCTGACATTAGGCTGTTCACTACAGAATTCTTCACATAAAAGATAACTTTTCTGGAGAAATTTTAGTTTCAGATTGTAACTACATTACAGTTTGAAATTGCAGATTTCTTTGTCTGAAGAGAAATCTTACTAAAGTCAGCATTTTTAGTCCTATATTCTAAAAACCTCTTATGATTAAATGACTGGTTAAAAGATCTTTTCTACATTATGGTTAAAGTATATCTCATGTTTTTATTCTTATGCAGTTTCATATAAGGAAAGTTTTGTGCTTAAGTTTTGCATTGTAGAATTGATGTGATATATTATGAATTCAGAGTGAATTTTTTGAAAGTCTGCCCTGTTAAGTTCTTTAATAAACAGGACCTCCTAAATGTCTTTCACTTAGATTAATTTGAGTTTCAGGTTTAGAGGTGAAACTCATTAAGATGATGGTGTAGCCATGGAAATACTGCCAGTAGCTTATATGTTAAAACTCTAAATTATATTGGTATCCAAATATATATTCTTTTTGAAATACTGGGAAAAGGCAAGCATTTTATAAACACTTTATAAACACTTTACTGGTTAAGGAAATTATAGAACTGAAAAGTCAGAAATAATTGCTATGTCTAATTTGTTCTTTAAATTTGCTCTTTAAATTGCAAGCCAATGGAGATATAAATAGAATGGTTCTAGTCAGATAAAAGAAATAATGGGGATTCTTTTAAAAATTTTGTCATGTTTTAAAATTGGCACCTCTCAGTGAATGCTTTAGTTTTAACTGAATAACTGCATTTTTAAAGTAACATGTTGCTTGAAACTAACTGCATGCAGAGAAAGTAGAAAAGCTCAAATATCTGGAATTTTTTATTCGATGCCCAGCTGTTGCTCCATGAGTACTTACCCTTGGCTCAACTAAGGAGCTCTATTATTGGGGTTAAATATATCCAATGGTTTCATAAACCAAAAGAGTTAAAAACAATTTCAAGTTTTTATTTCTGTTACTGCTTGTATATGGAGGATTTCATGTTTTTTAATATCATAGTTAAACTGGAAATTACACATATTACTTGTACTTAATTACAATATGTATAATTATTTTGTCCACTATCTTAGTTAAGCTAAAGTTAGGAGAAGATTTTATCTTTGTTTTTTCCTAGATGTTCTTGATTCAAATTTCATTATATCCAAATAATATTTTTTTCCAATATTGTATTATATAATATCAAGTAATTTCTTTGGAAGAAATGAAGTGTTTACAAAAGAAAGATATGGAATTTTATATTCTTGATATTTCAAAGAAAAAAGGTCTTGAATGCATATTTCTTTAAGATTTTGAATAACTGAACAATCTCTTTGTACTTGTAGTCTCACTGTCTATTGATATCATTTGTATTAAGATAGATATAACTGAATGAAATTTGATTTTTATAGTCTTTAATAGTAACTAAAATTAAATTATCAACAGAATTAAATGTATAAACTCTTTAATGTAGAATTGAAAAATGGAAGCAATTTAAATTGGATTTGTTTCAGAATGCCATTTTAGAAAGCAGTTGTAAGTATTAGCAATATCAGTATTATATGAATATATGCTAATGTAAGGTGAAAGAAACATCCTCATTAAAATCTTATTGCCAAACAAGTGACAAAAACCTTACAAACAGCTTGAGGCTTCAGGTCAGTCACAGTTATTCCTGAAGAGAGTTGGACAAGTGTGAAAATAGATAGACTATGCCTTTATTGTGACCAGAACACAAAAATGCTATCTTGCATTAGTTAGCTACCAAGGACATTTTTTATTAATATTAGGGAAAATGAATCTTTAAACAATATAATGCCTAAAGAATCTTACTGTGAATTTCTCAAGTAAGGAAAAACATTATGTTTGTTAAATTTAGAAAGTAGATCTTTGATGTTAGCCATTGTATTTGTGTTTTCCAGAAAAAGTCTAGGGTTTGGTCAACTAGCATAATTTCATTAGGCAGAATTTGTAATCTAATGGTCTTTCCTCTAGATATCATCTGCGTGAACTTCTCTGGTGAAGTGACAGTAAGAGTAAGGTGGTGCAGCGGTAGCCAGGCCGTGGTTTACCACCACTATTGAACATGGCAGTTCTCTTAAAGAAGCCTTCACCCAGGTTTAGTGAATTATGGATTGCTTTATGTACATAGTCTTTGAGAATGACCCATGCCATTTTATTTGGGATCATAGTCTTTGCTTATATAAAAGTAGATCTTAACATTACGCTATAAGTAGAAAAATTAGCATTGATAACTAGACAAGAATTTCAGAGTGAAAGCTAATAAACTTTTTGGTAGCCACATGACCACCCTTCAGTGTCTCCTCTGAAAACAAGCTGGCTATAAGTCTAATTTGCCTCTGCTTTCCCTCGGTTTGATTTGACCTATACTCAGGGACTCGCACCAAAAGTAGTTAGAATAAAGAAGATACCCGATTCTGTTCGGAGTCTAACAGGCAAAGTTGGGAATGAGAGAGCAAATGGTGGAAGTGCTGAGACTAGTGAACAAGAAACTCAAGGAAGCCCATCCTGTCTCTGTGAAAGGGAATATTACACATCACTCATGATGTCATGTGATCTTGCATATTAAGTTAGTTGCACTAAAGTCATTTCTTCCATCCTTTGTCCTTGTTCCTGTTATACCGATTTTCTTCTAAGTGTGACTGTGACCCTGTGGGTGGATACAGATATCTGTGCTGTAGGCTCTTGCCCCAACAAAGCTTCCCGATGAGTTTTTTTTAACGCATCTAACAAATCTCAATCACTTTTGGTTGTTCGTGGTTTAAAAAATTTTTTTTACATATTTATCTTTATGAAGACTCCTGAAATTATGCAGATACTTTACAATAATTATGAATAATTTATGTTCCTAGTAATTAGAAGGATAACACATAGCTCAAGAAAAGAGGTGAATCTTGATAATTTTGTATTTACAAAGTTACAAAAGATATTGAGAAAACATTTTTTTTGCCTACAACTTCTTTGTGAGGATGACATTGTATTTTAAGATGTGACATGCATTTTAAGATGTGACATGGAAATGGTTGGTTGGTTATAGCAGATTAGAGTTAGCAGAGCCTGGAACTGTAGTGGCCAGTGGTCAGAAGGAAGGACGTGGATAGTCCAGGAGAGAGTAGCTGCAAAATGTGGGGAGCCAAGCACATCGTCCTGTGGAAGAGATAAGATAGGACTGAGTTTGACCTAAAGCAAGCACAAGGCAAATGGTGAGCAGCCCAGCTGTGGGTAGAAACTGGCATCAGGCTTTCCTGGATTGGTCGTCTTGAGAAGACAGAATATCAAAGGGGTTCGGACAAGTTAAAAGACAAACTACCAGAATGGAAATTTGGCAGAAAGCCATTTGAAACTTCTCGGGCACCTAAAGCTGACTTGGAAATGAACTGGGAGTCCTGTTATTTGAAGTTAAGGTGCCATGGCATGGGTCATGTAAAAGAAAGAGGTTGCCTGGAGATTTCTATCAGGTGGGGATCCAGTGGCTTTGTTGCCATGTACTGAGAAGACCCCAGATACTAATGTCAGGAGGCAATTCTACTTTGACCCTAGAATGTTACAAAAGATATTGAGAAATCGTGTCATGTGCTACATAACAATGTTCAGGTCAACATTGGACCACATATATGACAGTGGTTCCATAAGATGATAGCACAATATTTTTACTATACCTTTTCTGTGTTTAGGCATGTTTAGATACACAAATACTTACCGTTGTGTTATACTTGCTGACAACATTCAGTAAGTAACATGCTGACAGGTTTGTAGCCTAGGAGCAATAGGCTATACAGTATATCCTAGGTGTGTACTGGGCTGTACCACCTAGGTTTGTGTAAGTAACTGTGATGTTCACTTAATGATGAGATCACCTAAGAGCACAGGTCTCAGAACGCATTCTTGTCGTTAGCTACGCATGACTGTACTCGCTAGAAATCCTACTCAGTCTCTACATCCTGTTTGGCTCTATGAAGCCTCCTCACCCTTTATCTCAGTAGTTCTCCCTCCTCCTTCTCTCAAATCTGATTTATTTCTACAAAGTGAACAATATTCATCTTATTCTGCCTTTTACTAGTGCACATGTCTTTTGTTGAGCAGGTACTGTGTGCTAGAGAATAGATATTACAAGAATGAATATTTTAAAGCTATTAAAAAATTATATTCGCTGGGCATAGTGGCACATGTCTGTCCAGCTAATTAGGAGGTTGAGACAGAAGAATAGCTTGAGCCCACTAGTTTGAGACTGTAGTGAGCTATGGGACAGAGTGAGGCTCTGTCTGTGAAAAAGAAGAAACAAAAAGAAAAATAAATTTAAAAATACATGTAATGTGTATGTGTATATATAGATGCAATTACAAGATATTTTTTCCTTCCAAAATTTTTATTTCAGATTTTACCAAATGTTGCAAGGACTCTGGACTCCTTATGGTAGTAAAATGCCGGAAAGAAAATTCTGCATTGAAAGAATGTCTAACTGCTTAGTAAGTAGTTACCTCAGTGTTTGTTGTGTGTATGTGTTAGTTAAGAGTATGCTATTTAACTCATCGCATGTATTGTCTTCTGTACTGCCCCCTACCAAATTTGTCATATTGTCGGCTGAGTCTAAAGTTCCAATATGTTGAAGCATATTCTGTAAAAAGCGACATATTAATGAAAGTCTTTATGTTTGTCAGAATTATATCTGATTAAAAATATGAACTCAGCAAACAATAATACATGATTTTTTTTACATGGTTTAACAAATCCCTTTTCATGGATAGGTTGATCTGTAGGATATAGTATAGACAGATTTTTATTTTTTCTAATGGAAAGATATCTGAATTAGAATATCTCTAAGACCTTTTCCAGCCATGTGATTTGTTGGATTGATAAAGTTTAATTCCTAGGAAAGTTGCAATAAATCATATGAATGATACAAAGGTAAATTTAAAATTTTGAAGTTATATTTATTTTAAAAATATATCTTAAATATCATGTTTACTAATATTTTGTTGTAGTTCTTTAAATCTTTAAATAAAAACATGTGAAGTGTTTGAATTCAGGTGGTTTTATCTCCCCATGTTTTATTACCCACATTAATGGACAGATAATATTGCAGAATACTGTAGTGAGTATTGTTAATTGAAAGTTGTGAGCTCTTACTTTTGGTAAGCCCTTTATTTCCTTTATATCTCTGCTCCTCTAGCTTGTGAAGCATGTGTCAGTATGGTATGAGAGTTCTTACAGGATTAAATAAAAAAGGAACATAACGATTACCTAGATCATATATACATATAGATATATACATTTTTAAAATAACAAATTATGTACACATAAGTTTATAAACTTTTTCAGAAAGCTGGAATTGGAAGACACTCTAGAGATCATCTAAACTCATCTCTGCATTTGTAGATGAGAAAACACTCAATCTTCATATTTTTTCTCATATTAATAAAATCAACAGCAGCCTTAATTTATGGTCCAAAAACTGCACTCGGTTTACCATAGACATAGAGGAGCAACAGAAAGTTCATTGTATGACTTACTGTTCTTCTAGTTGTCTTCCCTAGTGCTCCCAAGAGCAAATGAATCTCTTAAACGGTTGTGTGACTGAATTGCTAAACTGTTTTATGTATTAATTTAAACATCTGTATGCCTCAGATTCAGGCATCATAATGAATTGTCACTGCTAGTTTGACATATTGTCCCTCCAGACAGGGCAGCTCTAGAGCAGGGTGGACAGGAGTAGAGCAACCAGGAGGGCAGCCTGGGCTCAACCTTGGGATGAGGGAGAGCTCAGCCAGCCACATGACCTTCAGCAGCTTTGCCCTAAAAAGGGATGAGGACACTCATGGAGTGACTATGAGGTCCTGTGTGTCACTACATCTCCCACGATGCCTGGCACACAATAGGCACTCAGTAAATGTCTCTGAATATGAATCACTTTCATATCCTTCTATCTCCCACCCTAGAAATACGAGGAGAAATGAACAGATTCTAGTCCATCCTGGGGGAGGTGCTAGGATGGGTGGAGGAGGCTGCTTCTGTGTGTATAGAAGAGAGACAAGTGGAGAGGAAAACAAGGGGATGTGACATTTGCGAAATGAATGGAAAGGCATTAAGGAAAATTGCACTTGACCTTAGGTTCCCCAATACTCTAAGAAACAGTAATTTTTCATCTTTAAGTAAAAAAGTACTCTGCTTTATAATCACTGTCCTCTCTCATCTTGAAACATTAATGGTTTGTGCTTTATTTCTGTGTCTCATACTCATTCATTCCTTAGTACACTGTGATCTGATTTCTGCCCTGACTCTACTGGAACGCTCTTTCTAAAGGTTCTAATGGGCTCACAGTAGCCAAATGCAACAGGTGGTTCTTTCTCTTTTACTTATCTCTGGCAATTCCTTTCTTAAAATTCTCCTCTTCCTGGCTTCTCTGATAACTGTCTTTCCCATTTCCCCAACATCTCTCTGTACTTCTCAAACTTCCTTAATCTGCTTCTTTAAGTTGGTGTTTTCTGGGGTTCTCTTCTCATTCTTCAGTCTGAGGGAGTTCCGTTTGTACCATGGGTTCCATTACTTTCTATAGAAAACGACACGTCTCTATTTCCTTCTTCAAGTCCAGACCTGATTTGGCTCCTTTTGCTTCTCCTGCATCATGTGTCTTTGTGATTTACACCAGTTGTCTAGAATCTAGCGACTTGTCTCTTAACTCTAATTGGTCATTTCCTGCTGATTTCCAAAATCTCCCCCCATCCATCTTCCTTTTCATTCCGGCTGCTCCTCCTCTGGCCTACACCCTCTTCATTTCCGGCCTGGATTATTTCAGTGGTGTGTTGGCCATCTTGCCTCTAGCCTTGCTGGCCCCCTTTCATCCTGTCTGCCACTTGCTGTCAGATTCATCCAAGTCACAAAACTGATCTCACAGTTGCTGTTAATGATGCCCCATTGCCCTCGGATAGATGGTAATCTCTTGGTGTGGTGTCAGTGGTCCATCATGGTTTGGCCTTTGTCCATTACATCTTCACTTAAGGGCCTCTCTTCTCTGTGCACTCTCTGCGTAGTGGTGCCAGTCTACTTGCACTTCTTTGCATATCACAGTTTCCCTCATGTGTCTTCTTCATGGATTTCCGTTGGTCCTTCAAAATGCAACTCAAGCATTTCCCTTTGGTATCTCCACCTCCCCATTTCTTCTGTGTTTCCATGGTATACTGGACCATACCTCTATTATGGTACTTTGTACGCTTAATTGTAATACCGTCTTGACTTGTCTGCCTGTAACACCACGGGCTCCTTGATGACAAAAGTTGTGTTTCTCATTGCTTTATTCTGTGGCAGTGCTATAGAAAAATGAATAATTAGGTCTTTTCTTTAGTTTGGCAGCATGTTTACAGTGAATTTGTGACCATTTCTAAAAGTCTGCTTCCAAGATTGAATCTGATGAAATAGATGTCTGAATATTATTAAAGTAAGCACACTGAACACTTGCAAAGTTATTCATTTTAAAATATTTTTATTTCCTTCTTGTAGCTATAATGATCCAGCCTTTTATGAAGAATGCAAAATGGAATACCTGAAGGAAAGGGAAGAATTCAGGAAAACTGGAATTCCTACCAAAAAAAGGCTACAGAAGCTTCCCACAAGCATGTAGGCAAATATTCAAATAACACTCAGGAACTCTAATATTCATGAAAGTCATTTATAGCCTGAATCACCTTGAATAATGGGCTCAAGATAAAAATGTGTGTTTGATTTATCCTAATTATGGAAATATTAATTTTATCTGAAGTAAAGGTTTTTTAAAAATATCAAAGTTCTGGTTTATTAGGCGGGAAAGGAGTAAAATGCTGAAATAATATATAGTTTTCCTGGTCATTCTGGACTTTTTATAAGTTTTTCTAGAACTGATTCTATAGCAGTGATACTGATTTTTGGAGTTTCATATAGATCTTATATTATTTTCTTCCAATGTTCAGGCTAATGGCTAATTATAGGGGCCAAAAGTAACTTAAGAAAAGTAGGAATGGACAAACTTCAGAGATGTTAATAATATCTAGGCAGTACAGAATGGCTATGAACCAGAATCCTTCCTGGTTCTACCACTTACTGTCTGTACAACTGTGGAAGTAAATCTAACACAGATACTGTGACTACTGAGTGTTGCAATTAGGTGTACAGTACAGTGCCTCAGACATGGCAGATGCCTTTAATTGGTTGTTACTGTTATTAGTAGTAGAGGCTTATTTGAGAACTGCCTTAGTCCTTTTTCTGTTGCTACAACAAATACCTGACACTGGGTCCTTTATAAGGAAGTGTGTTTGGCTCACAGTTTTAGAGGCTGGTAAGTCCAAGGGCATGACAGCAGCTTCTGGCAAGGGTTTTAAAAACAAATAGAGCTAGCAAGCAAGCACACGCCAAAAACGACAAGAGCACACTGAACTAGCATTTATAACAGCTTGTTCTCTCCAGAACTCACACCTGCAGTAAAGTCATTGATTCGTTTATGAGGGTAGAGCCTCTTAAAGTCCCCACCTCTTCATACTGTGACATTGGCAGTCAGGTTTCCAACTTTTGAGGTACATTCGAGCCATAGCAGAAATATAGATAAGGAGTTATGTACTTACATGAATTAATTTTAATTAACATCTTTGACATAGAATTTTCTAAAATATATGTTCCTTGACCTGTTAACTTGACTACTGATAATACTTTAATCTTTCATTTTAAAAAGTCATCTCTATACATGTGGACAGTAATGGACTCAGGAAGTAGTATAAAAAAATTATGTCCCAATGCAATAATTTGGTCTCAGGTTAAGCTTTTATATTAAAGTTTTTTTCCCCATAGCCATTATAAAGTTTCCAGATAAGTAAATTTTATGTATGTTTTCACATAGTCCTTATTAAAATCACAGATAGAAATTACTGTCCATTAAGACAAGAATTAACTTTTGCCTAAGCCCTTGAAATAGATCTGAGCTGTTTTATTTTATTTTATTTTTATTTATTTATTTTTTTGAGCTGTTTTATTTTAAAGAACTTAGTTAAATTGAATCAAATAAGACCCTAAAGAACCAATGGATATTCAAGTTCCACACTTTATTCTTGAGTGAACCACTCAAAGAACTATTTTGTTCTTATCTGAAATACAAAGAAACCACATTTTCCCAGGTTACAGATCGAAAGGAGGGAGATTACTAGTGCAGACAAAAGGAAAGCAAATGTGGGCATCTAGAGATCACACAGATTAGGGCAAGCAAGCCTGTTGACCTTTTGGTATTGGTGCATTTCCTAGAGCACGTGATCTTTATTGTTTTTAAAGACTCAAATGAAAAGGCAGTTACTTTTTAAGAAGCTAATGAAATACACAATCTGTGATAAGTTTGATTAAATCTTACATAGCCAATTTCAGTTTTATGTGGAAAATTCACTTACAGAGATGCTAGACAAATTATATAGTATAAATATATTCATCCTTTTTATGTCAAAAAGGAAACTGGGCTGGGTGTGGTGCTGCACGCCTATAATCCCAGCTCTTTAGGAGGCCAAGGCGGGAGGATTGCTTGAGCTCAGGAGTTTGAGACCACTCTAGGCAACAATAGCGAGACTGTGTCTCTACAAAAAGTCAAAATATGAGCCAGGTGTGGTAGCTTGCACCTGTAATCCCAGCTACTCAGGAGGCTGAGGCAGAAGGATCGTCTGAGTCCAGGTCAAGGCTGCAGAGAGCTGTGATTGTGCCACTGCACTTCAGCCTGGGCAACGGAAACTCTGACTCAAAAAACAAAAACTAAACTGTTCGTTGTACTTGTAAGCCTTCAGAATGCGCATGTCTAGCCACACTCAAGACCACTTTGCCAACTGGTACATCTGCGTCAGTTGTATCTTGCTTGCTCGTTGGTACCTCTGTCTATATTATTCCCTGTTCATAGTGACAATTCACAGGATTTTTTTCCCCCTTCAGATCTATCTTTTCCAAGTAGCCTTTCTGGATAAGATCAATATTTTGTTGTCACATGATTCAGTTACTTAAGACTGAATTTTCCCATTTATTTTGGTTCTCTCATGTTTCACATGCATGAGTAAGTTCCATTGCAGTAACAACTCCATAAAGCAATCTTCTTTATAAAGATGTAAATACAGCTCATAAGGGAGAAAGAAGGACTAGGTTTTTTTTGTTGTTGTTGTTGTTATTTGTTATTTGAGTGATACACGTACAGAATTGTGTTTTCTTAAAATAAGAGATCTGAAGATTATGAAGAAATTTTCAAGGGAAGCTCTTTGGAGCAATTTTCAGCTAGTATGAAAGAGGTCAAATTTAAATAAATTAAAAGTTACAGACGGGCTACTCACATTTCTTTTTGAGTCTTACCTAGAACAGAGAGCATCAAGTGTACATTTAAAAAGTTCTACTGGGTAAAAAAATTTTTTGGTTATTCTTTCCTAAGGAGCCTTAGAACACCTAATTTGTTTAGTACTTCAAACTGTCAAGAACACAGGACAGACTTTGTAGCATACCTGTTTGATAGCTATCATTACTCTGTTTAGATGGAAAAGAATTTTTTCCACTCAAAGGAAGTTGGTTTAATAAAACACGTCTGTTTCTTGAATCATATTAACAATCAGTACCAGACTTTGAAATGTATAGGCAAGGATGGTATTTCATATCCACTTCAATTTCAAACAAAAATAATTTAATTAATTTCTTGCATTGTTAAAAATATTAATCAAGCCGTTCTCTCTCAAGACTTGTATGCTCTACAAAGGAAAATTTCCAATCTTGGTTTTAAAAAAAGCAAACCAGTAAGCTACATTAGAGATTAGATGAAATATACAGCCTATGCAGCCACATGAGAAATAGTTTTTGCTGCCTTGTTATTACACAGGTAGTTGCTTCCTTCAGCTAAAGCCTGGAGTATTGTATTTGTTTTATGCATATTGGGTTTTGTTTCTATTACTTGGCAGGAGATTGCACTCCCTTGAGTCAGCTGTGTTCATTGGTCAGAATAAATTCCAGTATCTGACACCAATTCCATTAATCACAGACAAGCTTGAATAAGTGTCAGATAATAGAAACAAAAATATCTGGTGAATGGTGAACACAGGCTATGTATGTATACTATCCAGTAATATAGAAGAGATCTGAGATTTTTTTGAGTTCAAGGTGTATGAACCAGACTATCAAAAAGGATAAAGTCCTCCTACATAAAACACTTTAACTCAAGCAATAGGTATATGAACAAAGTAATATATACTAATATTTTTAATACTTCCACCCTGAAAGAATTTAGATGAATTTCCATGTGAAGCTATTTTGTTATTTTCTTGTTTACAAGTGATTGGCCATTTAGAATAAAAAAAGTTTGGGGATATTTCATGATTGCACTATATAGCCCAAAATTTGATTATTTGAATCAAAGTTTCTAATTAAACATCACTTTCTCAATAAGTATTACATTTCAAAATAGGGTCTAACAATTTAGAAGCTGTTCAATATAACAAGCAGCAGTAGTACCTTTGAAGAAAATGACCTTATGTAGTCATATATATATATATAATTAGGTTTTCACTATGGACCAGTGAAGGGACAGATTAGACTGAAACCTGTGTCATACTCGTTCTACTTCTAATTGGATGCTGCATAGGGTTATAGTTATTTATTTACACACCACATAGTTTTTCAACTATTTCACCAAGTTTTTTTTTTTTTTTCGAATTGGAACTTGGGGAATTTACTGAGACAAAGCTGGCTTCAATGATAGGTTATTTCAGGTCTTACAATTCAAACTGCAATGCTAAAATTTTATCAACAAATGTTGTGACCAAAAATTCATTTTAAATCTTAAACTTTGAAACACAATATCATCTAGAGATGTTATAAGACACTTTTATTCCATTATATTTTCCATATCTTTATGCATCAAAAGATCAATGGAAATATAACCTATCTACATTGCCATTTAATCTTTATGCAATTTGAAGCAACTTACAGCTTTTCTCCTATATTAATGACTTCCTTTTTTTTTATGACTGGATTTTTAAGCATTTCACATACTTCATAAAACCATGTCTAAAATCTCCAATTCCGTTCTTTCTCTGAGAGGCGAAATTTTACAACTGTTATCAAAGGTAGAATTGTCTTTTTTAAACACCTTAAGTTTATTGATTAGTATAGTAAACATATATCTGATTCGTAGAATACAGAGCTGGAGGGTGCTCTTTCATACTGGAAAATCAACTACATAATACTGTACAGTATGTTCAAATGTATATACTGAAGAACTCTGCAAAATTTTAATCAAAATCCACTTTCAGTTTGTTAAATAATTTCTTGGGAGAGCCACTGAAAGAGAGAGTGTCCTCATGATCAAATAACGAATCTCTTCAGAATTATTTCTTATAAAGGCAGTTTTGATTATGTTGATCCAAGTAATACAGTGGTGGCAGGTTGGGTAAAGGCAGAGTTTTACTTTTAGTTTCCCCAAATGCTGTCTCACCTGACTTGGGAGGGCTTGGGAATACCCAGGAGTTATCTTCCAGAGAATTTCTGCCGTAAGAATTGTGTTCCTGAAAGTATGTACCATCATTAGGAATGGATCTCTCATTGTCTGTCCATGACTGCAGGATTGCTTTCTCTGACAAAACCTTCGTATCTCCTGGTAAAGGGGAAGATGTAGTATGACAAGGAGCTTTTCCATTTGGTGAAAGAGGGGGATATCTTGTGTATGTTGCAGTAAAATTCGTCAAGTGCAGCTTGGTGCTGTCTTTCCCAAGGTCTTCAACGCATCCTACTGGGGCAGAGGCTAAAGAAAAAGCACAGGCTCAAGGTCAGTTTTCATGGCACTTGTGATAAAATACTGTAACACCTCATTGATTTGGTTGAGTTCTAGAACTGGTAATGAAATCAACATGTCCAAGTTTGTGTGGTTATTGAGGCACTGTGACCTGGAGATAAAAGATGTTCTGAGTACTGATCCTAGATTAGCTATTTGCTGATATTATGACTTCAGATACTTGTCACTTAACTGTCCCAGGTGTTACTTTCCCCGTCTGCAAAATGGATATAGTAATCCTGTCCCACCTATGTCACAAAGCTTTTAAAAGATCAAGAACTGCATATTGCAAAAATTTGGAAACCACTAAAGTTAAAATACCAATAAAGATCCTATTCTTGGTTCTTAATTGTGTCCAGAGAAGGCTTGCAGACTATTACATGTCAGTGTGTACAGGAAGAGTTGTTCTTAAGTTTTAGCATTTTTTAGTTAAATGTAATTTACCTTTGCTTAAGTCAAATCGTTTCTCCATAGACAGTCCAAAAGTAAATTTTTTTCAGAAATAATTACATTTTGAATTGGTGGGACCCACATGAAGTTTTAACACGTACATATCACAGGCTTTTGTGGATAAAGCATTTGAAATAAAAGTTGTAAAATAATCCTGTTCTTGTAAAACACACATAATAGCAAATGTTTTTATTTCTGCTATGGTCACAATATGGGTCAAGGAAAAAAAATAACAAAAACACGTGATGGCTTAGAAAAAAACTGTTTGACAGCTATTATTTAGCCACAACTAAAGAAAGCACAGGCTAAATGTCAGCTTAAAGACAGTAATACAGGTTTCTCCTCCCCTCCAACTCAACCTACCAGGGTGGAAAGATAAGTTTATCCTCAGCCCAAGAAGGAAGGCCAAGTGTAACTAAGGTTTGACTCCATGTAGTTTGAAGAACCACATTACGAGTAAAGAAGGTTTTATTGCCTTGTTTCTTGGGAAGGTACATAGGGATAGAGGAGAACTGGAACCAACAGTGTTCAGCTTCTGGACAAAGGTGACACGGAGGTCAGGAAAAAGGTGACCTCATCTCTGTACTTCTCAAAGCAATGAGTTCTGTAGTAAGGAGTGGTGACCTCAAGCCTGCACTGTCATAGGAAATGTTATGAAAGAAAACTTAGATTCCAAAGCATAAAAGAATATTACCATTAACTAGCTAGGAAGGGAACACAAAGACGAGCCACTTCTAAGTCTTGAAAGACCATTTCCCCTTTCATATTCTTTGGAAGTTATATTTATTATGCAAACAAAAAGCCACATTGAAAACTCACTGCAAAATTACTCTACAAGTCCCTTTAAAGGCAAATCTTATTTCTGTCATCAGCACATAGTCTTATAAATAACCTTGACCACTAGAGGATTCAAGAAAAAATGAACCATAAATTAGACTTGCTAAAATACCATATTATTTTCCCTGATTTGTATGTAACCAACTCTCCAGAAACTGAAAGGAATTCTGAATTTAATTTTCCTTCCCATATGCAACATTTCCCCCCACTAATAAGCACTCCTGAGGAGAACTCTTTAGGAAACACAATTCTTTTGTGTCCTCTTTAAGACAAAGTGAGGTTCAAATAACAATTTTAAATTAGATGGTGATTACTTTATAAAAAGTCACATCTCATTCCTTTAAAAAGTAAACTTTAGGGCACTCAAATTTATATTACACAACTTTTCAGAATACTAGATACAAGTGCACCGGTTTCCCCCCCCCCCCCAAGGTATTAAAAACAGCTTTGGCAGGAGTAGCCACTACTAACTAACACAGAACTCAAAAAGTTCAGTTAAGTAGTTAAATATGAAAGGCAAAGCGATGAAAATTTTTGTTTAGCCAAAGGGCATAAGGGGAGAACACCTAGTCTCTGTTTTAGTCAGCTATTCTTTAAGGAAAGAAAATTAAGTTTATAAAAAATGTAGACAACCAAATAATGAATCAAAGTTTTTTTTTTCCTAAAGCTAGTTTTTTGGTGTATTCTGTAGCAATGGAATGAAAAATTGCGTTTAGTGTCTTTTTTTTAATATATAAAGTAGCTGTGGTAAAAGGTCAACTAGAGCAAACTTTAACACCTCAGCCTTATACACATAAGCAACACTTGGCTGAGAAAAGCCACAAGGGGAAAAGAATACAGTACTGAAGAAAAAACACATCAGCAACACCTTTATGTGTGAAGTTGACCAGTATGAGACTGAAGCCAAAGCAGAGAACAGGTAGGCTGCAAATACACTATGTATATTTTGGCTTATCAAACTCATTTGATGAGATTTTGATAAGATACAATAGCTGGTTGCTCTTCAAGCAGTTTGGCTGGAATCAGTGGTTTCCGGCAAATAGTGACTTGCCTTTCTTGATTGCAGTTGGGGTTTCCAGTTTTCTTAGTAGTTCAGCTTGTACTTGAGTCACCAGATGTAAATTAGACATTTCTCTCTTCAGTTCCCAGTATGCATGCTGCATGTTATCACTGAAATACAGGGTTAAAAAAAGTTAACTCATTGTTATTTTTATGGACAAAAACGAATAAATTTAAAACAGAAATAAATAGCTCCAAGCTCCAAGTTCTTGCCACAATTAGTCTGGAGATGATATAAATTAATAAAACAATTGGAGGATATTTAATTAGGGCATTAATAAGTGAAAAGACCTAACACTTTCTGATTTGTAGCAGGGTATAATAAAAAGAAATATCCTAACTGATGAGAGTTTCTTATAGGTCTTTTCTCAGAATTGAGATTTTATTATAGCCTATGTGTAGCTGTTAATATAATTAGTAAGTAGTAAAGAATATGTTCTTCATTTGCAAATCTGACCAAGAATAAAGTTACATTAATTCATATATGGATTGTAAATTTGTACTTATCTTTTGATTGTTTCAACACTGTGAACTAAAATGACATATCAATTGCTGAATGTATACCCAAGTCCACATTAAAATAAAAATTTAGGTTTCATGCATTACATTCTTTATGTTTGACTGGGCTGTCTCATATTGTTGGTTCTAAACCAATGTGACATGACAGCACAAGACATGAAGAGCCAGATGATTTCTTGGTAAGGAAAAAGAAGCCAGAGAGGCAGGGTTATATGAGACAGAAATAAGAACTTCAAAAAGGCCTCTCCCATTTTTATAATTAAAATTATTTTACCTCAATTATCTAAGAATTTATGAATTAGTTATTTTAGATCTAATTTTTATAGGTTTTGTTTTCCATTAAACATTCTTAATTGGACATTCATGACTTTCTTCTTTTTCAGGTTCTTAAATGCAACTAATGCATTAAAATCTTAATCATGCATTCTTATTTTGTTGTACAGAAATACACAAAATATTAAAAACGTAAGAATAATCTCATAGTATTCAAACAACGATTACTGTCCCTGAGAGATATCAGTGTAATTTTAGTAGTACAGATATCAAACTAGAAAAATGTGTCACCACATACTTCAATTTTTGTCTAACCATACACAAACATTTAAACTGCAAGGGGTGACACTCTTGAAATCTACATCTAATATCCCAATTACAGAAACAACAGATATATTAAAAAACAGAATTATTTTGAATTATGTAAGGTAAAATATCTCTTTCGTCAAAATATTCCCATTCTACTCACACTATAAATCAATACAAGCAGGAGAATAGAGAAATATCTACATACTTGTTTTAGTCTGTTATGAATGTTTTTGTTACGTTATAGTGTATTAAAAAAAATCACAGGGCTTTTTACAGGTTTTTTGATAGGTGTGAAATAATTACTTCACAAAAATTAGCTATCCACATCTACTCCACCAGTAAACATCTGAGATGTTTGCTACAATGAATGTCTCACACAGGAACCTGTCTTAAGTGTGAAGAGAGCTGCTGGTTTCCTTGGTGCAATTCTGGGTACTCATCAGTATGCTTCCCAAAGAGTTACTCACATTATATAGCAGTAAACGCAAACACTGAGCACATGCTAATTCATGCAGACAGGCATGATATGAATAATACAGTTTAAAAATAGTTTATTATTGGTGTGAGACAATAAATCAGTGCCTGACTTGGAGAAAAGAAAAGCAATTACTCAAGACAGTGTTTGGATACTGAAATACCAAGCATATCCAATCATTTAAAAGTAGCTAGGCATGTAAAATAAAAAAGAAAAAATTGTAATAGAAGTGTTAAGTCAGTTTCTACTATACAATTTTCAATGCAATTTAATAAAGACTGCTTAAACTTTAGGTTAAGTTGAAAACTAGGTCACTGAGTTTAATATACATCTTGTCTTTTTGTCTTTTGCCCTTAATGTCACCTGAATTGAAAACAAACTGCAGATACAAAAAATCTAAAATTATTACTAAGTATGAGCTCTCCCTCTGGTGGATAACAAAGTAATTGCAGATAGTGTTACCCACTTAAACAGTTATTACTAAAGTGCTACAGTCTTCAAAGTTAAGTTTAATTCTATTTACTTGAACAGAATGTTTACATTAGTACTTAGGTGAGACTGGAAAGGGAAAATTGTCATCCCTCAAATTTTTAGCAGGGTTCCAACTAAACTTTTTATCTAGGTATTTTTCAGACTATGCATAGATTGTGACCCTCCATCCTCCTCCCAGTTTCCCAGCTGGGCGTACAAACGTAGTTAAGTTTTGCCTTAAATGCCACACGAGCAAAATCCTAGTAACGTATACAGCTGTCTATAAATAATTTATTTAACTACGTAAATACTGAAATATGAAATGAATGCATCCCAAATGAGAACCCTAAAAATAAAATAGATGAAACAAAAGTAATGATGGTTGACCATTTGTTATGTGCTAGGCACTTCATCCACATCCTCACACCAACTTGGCACAGCGGGTGACCTCATTTCACACATGAGAACACAGGCCTAGGAGTCTACTGGACTAATTAAAAGGTTCACTCTGTCTTAAGGAAACAATATACTACCTCATTTGCCTGGCAACATAATGGAGGAAATACAAAAAAGAGGAGTGCTCCAAAAAGAGTTTCCCAAATAGCTGAAAAATAATTCTTAAAGATATCTAAACCCTTAGTTAATGGATTTATGGAAATATCTCTATTAAATATCCCTATTCAAATGATAAATTAAGTTTACTATATTAGTATGTTCTGCTAATAAACCATTAAAGTGGTTTAAGTAACTTACAAAAATTAATAAAACACAGGAATATAAACTGGTAATGGGTATAAATGATGAGGTTTAAAAAAAATGCAGTGGGGAGTGAGACTAACATAAAAATGTATGATTCAAAGTTTACCAACAGTAGACCACAAATTTGGTCATAAGTTTTCTAGTGGCTAAGCAGAAGAGAAAAACCTAATCATTTCTGCAGTTGATGCTGCCTGTATAAGATAATCACAAACCAATTTGCAAAGAGCCACAAATGCACCTGAGCACTAAGGGAGCTATTAGGAAATGCTGAAATTACACGGTTCTCTAACATACCACGTCCTTGATATGGCTTTAACACAAAGTAACTTTTAGATAGTAGTTAAGGCAATTCCCTCTAAAAACTATTTCTCCCAGATGTTTTAAACAATTCAAGACTGCACTTGGAAGCCACAATTGTATCTGCAGTCTCAAAAACTGTACTCACCTCCTCATCACTCGCCCTCTCCCAAATCCTGGCAGAGAGATTCTTCACTGTCGTGTTAGTTATCTGTTGCCTTCAACAGATTTTTTTTTAAGGAAGTCAGCTTTTTGATACTCTCAGTGCAAGTGATCCAAATTACATAATCCCCCAAGAATGGAAGAAAAGTCCCATTCTATATCATGTACTTCAAATACACTATTTATTATATAACATTTTTATCTGATCTACTCTGATTGTAATGTATTTATCCACTCCCTGCTTCTTTCCAAAAATGTTTTGGAATGGCTTATACAAACGGTAGCAAAAGTAATAAGGGCAAACCTAGGCTGACAGGAGAAAAGAGGATAATGTTGACAACATAATTTTAAGAAACAGTTATATGGACATTGTACTAGACACATTGTTTAAAACAGAAAAGAAAAAACTTCCATGCTGTAAACCTGGATAAAATTTGAAGGCATAATTGAAGTACTATTCAAATGGCAGGGCTGAGTAGTTGCAACAGAGACTGTATGGCTAGCTCATAAGCCTTACAATATTGGCTGCTGGTACTTTATAGAAAAAGTTTGCTGAGCCCTGATTTCAAAGAATGGCTACATGTCATTTCCTCAAATTACTTTCCCCAACTGATTATTTCTCCCCAGCAGGTGTTCGATAGGAACAATTCATATTATTTACTTAGGTCAGTAAACTTTGGACATTAAATGATCAAACACTAAAGCCAAGTCAGTATTTTTCATCAAATGGAAGGTCTCCATGTTTCTAACATAGTATAAACAAAAATAACTAGGTAATTTAAAACACAGAACTTAAGCAACTTAAGTAAAAATGATAAGTACATGGGAAAAGGGTTGAAGTTAAGCATGTGAACTCTGATAGCTATTCCTATTCTTACCTTAAGAAGGAATCAGTCTCTTAAAATTTATGCTATCCAAAAGATTAAGGTTGCCCAAGTTAGTCCTGAATATAAAAATCGCTAATTTTTCATGTACAAATCAATAGCACAAAATACTTCCACGTAGCCAGTTCCCTAAAATCCTATCTAAAATATTACTAAATATTCAGAAACTTTGTTTACAGCATCTCAATGTGCAACTTTCTACTAAAAAGTTCACGCCTGCTGTTAAGTAACAAATCTTTTAATAAATATATTATGATAAGTATCCAAATAGTACCTATTCGGTATCCAAATAGTACCTATTCGTTTTGTTTTTAAGGTTAAAAAAAGAAATCAAGGTACCTACACAAAGTGCAATGGAAGAGAACATGTATTACTCTGTTACATAACGCTCATACCTTGAAATGCTTAGTCTTTGGAGGTCTCTGATCTTCAGATTGTCTTCCTGATACGGATCCTGTCATTTGTTTAAAAAAAAAAAGTTTAAAATTTGTAATTTTTTGCATTCTATTTAATCTCAACGTTTTATTACCAGAGATACGTTTCAGCTTTTATAGATTACATCAATAACTATAGCAGCATAAAACTAAATTTCATGCTCAGTTTTAATAAAATATTTCCAACCCATATCAAATATTTCTAAATCTCTTCCAATTAAAGCATTAAAGCTTTAATTTTCTTAAAAAAATAAAACTGAGTTGGACACCATGGCACACATCTGTCATCCTACACTGTGGAAGGCCCAGGTGGGAGGATCACTTGAGCCCAGAAGTTCAAGACCAGCCTGAGCAAAATAGCAAGACCTCAAATCTACAAAAAATTAACTGGGTGTGGTGACCTGCGCCTTTAGTCCAAGTTACTCGGGAGGCTGAGTCAGAAGAGTCGTCTGAGCCCAGGAAGTTCAGTCTGTGGTGAGCTGTGAGCACTCTAGTCTGGGTGACAGAGTGAGACCCCAACTCAAAAAAACATGCTCTCACGTAAAAAAACTTGGAGTTTTACAAGTAAATTTCTAAAAACACCAATCTGAAGTTTATACTTTAAAAAGTGTAACACATTTATCACATTACTGTTTATTCAAGCTGAATGAATTCCAAAGGAAAATGGGAGTTCTCTGGTATTTACTTTTTGTACTATTATTTTTTTTTTAAAAAGTAACAGAATTCTAACAAGTTACTATTTTAAAAGAGCAGCATAAATTTCCTCTCTCTCTCTAGATACAAAAAAAAAAAAAAGACCTGGCAAGGATGTCATAAATCCCCATTTACTATGAAGTTTTAGTCCTTTATTCTTTTATTTATTCATTCATTCATTCATCTTTTTGAGACAGGTTCTTGCCATTTACTCTTTTTTTTTTTTTTTTTTTTTTTAAAAGACAGGGTCTTGCTGTCACCCAGACTGGAGTTTAGTGGCATAATCATAGGCTCCCTTTTACCTCAAACTCCACGGCTCAAGCAATCCTCCCATATCAGCCTCTCAGGCAGCTAGGACTACAGGTGTGCACAACTGCACCCGGATAATTTTTAAATTTCTCACATAGATGGGGCCTTGCTATGTTGCCCAGGCTAGTCTCAAACTCATGGTCTCAAGAGATCCTCTGGCCTTGGCCCCTCAAAAGTGCTGGGATTGCAGGTGTAAGCCACCATACCCAACCAGTTTCAGTAGTATATTTAGGTTGCAGACATGACAGAAGAAAAGTAAAAAATACTTTTAAATATGCTCTAGACAACTCTGCAGCATGCTTGCTTACAATACATTCTCATTAAGGGTCTGTAACAAACAAAAATAACTGTCACAGGTACTAAGTCTACTGGCAGAAGTGGCCAGTATAAGAGAACAAAATTTAATTTTACTATTTCTGACATAATCTAAATTATATGTTCTAAAGTGGGACATTAGAAAACTACACAAGGATATGAGTACTCTGAACCTCAAAGAGTAAAATTTCAAAAATGATTCATCTAATGGGAGTTAATGCATTTCTGGATCTCTAATTTGAATACTATTACAATTAAGTTGCATCTTAGGGAGCCCTATGGAAAGGGGAAACAGAACTGGTCCACAGCCAGGGGCAATATGACCAAGAAGGTACATATCCTTAGATATTGTTCTTTCCTTTTTTTTTTTTTTTTGGTGAGAAAGCAGGATTTATTGAGAGGACAGAAAAGCTCCCACAGTGGGAGGGAACCCGAAGGGGTTGTCCTCTTGTTTTCTATAGGAAATAAAAGAATCAGATCAGATCACTTTTAGATTCTTTGTATTGTTAAGTAAGAAAAAAAATTAAAACTAGCTTGTACTTAAGCACATGTGTTCATTGGAAAACTCTCATTTTTAAAGCCAACAATATTTTAAAAATCTGATGGGATAGGAAAATATTTTTCCAGCGACAGTCTAGCAATTCAGAAAGCCAGACATAAATCAGCAATACGCTCAAAGGGATGGTCTCTAGTATTCAAAGACCCAGCTCCTGGCCAACAGTCATTCTACCATGTTCTAAAGGTGGACATGGATCTGTTTTCCAACTAGTGCAATATGATGTGGGCATTTCACATAAAGAGTGGCCCATGGCTACAAAATCTTGGGAAACAACGTTCAGGTTATACAAGGTCCTACACCACAGGACTTTTCAGAACCTTTACTATACTAGAGTACACTGTGAATGTATAAATGGGCTATTATTAGGAAGCTTAGACATCTTCTAAACCAAATCCATTTTTAATGATCCAGTGTTTTTTATGCTTCTTTGGTCCTAGAGTCTTTCTCACAGGATCAGTTGTACTGAATGTAAATGGCAGGGATAGGGGGGATAGAGAAAGTCTAAAAGGCCCACACTGGAATGCCCCTGGAACCTCATGAACATCAAATGCATTCATTAACTAAATACTTAAAAACAGCAGCACCACATGATGGATACTAGTACATACTTCAAAACCTATTATTATAAAATACGTTTCATAGAAAATGCCATCTTAAAAATATGTGTGAATATGGCTCGAGTAATGAAACATGGATTTCTTTCCTTGGCTTGCTCTCAAACGATTCCCACGTCCAAGAGGGCAGTCAGCAACATCTATGAAAAAAGCGTTGAAAGTATGCACCGCATGGCATCAAGATTTCAACTTGAAACTGTTTATAAACTGGTATTTCCGCTATTCCTTTTCCTGGTTCATTTTTAAAGTATTAGTAGTGAGCATTTTTTACTTCACAGCCTCACCTCAACCCTAATAAATGCCTGTGAAGATGAGGTCCATGTTTTAAGTATTTCTTTTTCTAATTTTTCAATATTCGTCTCTTATCTCACCTTCAGCTCTTAAAAGTTTCTTGTCTTTCAGATTTAATTTCATCATCCATTAAAGAAAAGTGATTTCTAAAGTTTCTTCTACCCCTAAAAGTCTGTTTCTGTGATTTTGGTTACCACACATAAACTAAAAGCAATTTACTCTCTAGCACCATCTAGTGGAACTGAAAATCAGAAACTTAAACTGCATGTAATTCACATACACAAATACCTAAAAGCACTGCTTTTCTGGATTACTCTAAGTTTTCTTTAAAAAGCACTTACTTACTGAATACACTGTACACTGGGTAGTATGCTAATTGCTTTGCATATACTAATTAACCCCAGGAAAAAAACCTAGGTATTTAATGTTGTTTATAGAGAACAAGTTCCAAGAAGTTAAATGACATTCCTAATGTTGCATAGTTAATAAGCACCACAATTATGAGCCAAGTTTCTATGATTCTATGGTACTACTTGCTACTCTATGACAAAATATTCACTAATGCTATCAAATTATTTCAAGTAAGTCGGGCTCAGCCTGTAATCCCGCGCCTTTAGGAGGCTGAGGTGAGTGGATTGCCTGAGCCTGCGGGTTCGAGACCCGCCTGGGCAGCGAGACCTCATCTCTACAATAAATCAAAAAATCAGCCGGGCATGGTAGCGCATGCCTATAATCCCGGCTACTTGGAAGGCTGAGGCAGAAGGATCGCCAGAGCCCAGCAGGTCGAGGCTGCGGTGGCCGGGAGCGGCCACTGCACTCCAGTCTGGGTGACAGAGTGAGACTCCAACTCAAAAAAAAAATTATTTCAAGTAGAATGTATATATTGACAGTTATAATTTAGAACTCTCTTCTTGCAAGCACATCTTTTTGAAAGGGGCTTCTCAGTGGCTACAGCAACTGGGCTTGCAGAACAAGATACTGGAAGACTTTGAGGGAATTATGGTGTGTGGTCACAAGTTCAAAGCCAGGAAGATGTCAAGTAGGGGGGAAAATTGGTTCTAACAGGAGTTGACAGGAATTTTTGTAGTGTTTCCCTTTTATAAGGGCTGGGGGCACCAAAGCAAGTTCTTGTTGCCCAGTGCAAGATAATTCATCTGGTCAAGGGCAAAGCAAAACGCTGTATTATTTTCAAAGCTATCTCATTCTTATCCAGTGGTCATCTTTCTTTAAAAACTACATCACAGAAAAGAGAAGTGTCAGCTCCATCTGTTGACACCTGAGGGCAGAATCTGCTGGCAGCAGAAAGTATGGAAGGAGGCTTTCAGGGGTGGCATTCCAGAGAACAGAGAATAAAAAGCACAGTTCCTCAACAGTCTTTGAATGCTCTGATGAGCAAAATGGTTGAGCTGAGGAAAAAAATTACATAACTGGTTATACTTTAGTTTGAAGTACATAAATGCATAAAAAGGCCACTTCCTCCAGACTAGAGAGTTTTTCACTCTGCTTTAAGCTCTCACACTCCCCTGCATCCATGTCATTTCCTTTTTTATTCTCAGCACTGTCATGCCATCTGAAATCACATACCCAAGCTAGTTAGAATCCAATCTAAAGTATTAGTAAACAAACTCTTGGGGAAGACCTGAGAGGCAGTTTGTACTATAGTTGAGGAATTCAGGCTAACCACACCACCGTAGCTTGGCAAGTTTTTATTGTTTTTCCCTATTCTTGAATTCTTGGCTATTTGCTAGTAGTTAAAATTGTCCCACAAGTTTTAGTCTTCTGAAAATAAATGGGTTCTGTAAAGTTTCCTTTGTTGTTGGTAGTCTTAAGGGAAAAAAAGGAAATCTAAAAATCAAGTTGTCTTTTGTGAAATCTAAATTAATCAAATTAAAAGGTGAATAAAATGAAAAACTTAAAATCTGAGTTCTCTTTAAACTTTACAGAGAAAATAAATAACTCACGAAAACTGAAGGAAAGGGAGTTGAAAAGAACAGTTACAACACACTAATAAGGTTTTTAAAAAATAAACATTTTAAAAAACAAAATTATATAATTTGAGAATCAAAGTAAAAGCATATGGTGTGTCAAATTTTACCAGAAATGGTTCAAGAAAAAGATAAACATGAATTTTTCAGGAACTAGAACATTTCTAAGTAGTTACAAATTATGTTAACACTATGGTTTAAAACATACTTAGCTATAAATCCTACATATGATAGACAGAGAATACTGAATTTCTCAATTTAATAATTCTGTAGTACCTTTTGCTTAGCTTTTTGTAGTTCTATTTTGAGATCACTACATTCTTTTCTCTTTAGTTCCAGCTCCTGTTCCAAACCATGAATCTTCAGGTCGTAGCTCAACTTTTCCACCTCCCAGTTTGATGACGGTGGATTTAAATTCCTCATCACTACAGAAAGGATGAACACCAAAACTGTTACCTTTGCCTTCTATGTTGACTTCAATTTTAGAAAGGTTATGCTGATAAAATGTAGATAATAAAAAAAAACTAATATGAAACATATACAATTAGTATTTCTTAAAAAATAGTAATTACTTTCAAAGATCTATGCTAATGAGAGTAAGAGATACAGCAATCTTGTTTTAGAATATGCTAATTATCCCATCTATGATTTTCTATAAAGTTAAAGTTCAAATTTGTCAGTCTGGAATTTTAAAAGATACCACACTAAAATCAAGCATATGTTAAAACTGCAGACAAGCCGGGCTCAGTGGCTCCGCCTGTAATCTCGCGCCTTTGGGAGGTTGAGGTGAGTGGATTGCCTGAGCCCATGGGTTCGAGACCCGCCTGGGCAGGCGAGACCTCATCTCTACAATAAAATCAAAAAATTAGCCGGGCGTGGTAGCACGCGCCTGTAATTCCGGCTACTCGGAAGGCTGAGGTGGAAGGATCGCAGGTCAAGGCTGCGGTGGCCGGGAGCGGCCACTGCACTCCAGTCTGGGTGACAGAGTGAGACTCCAACTCAAAAAAAATAATTAAAAAATTTTTAAAAACTGCAGACAAATCAATAATCTATTTTGCATAAGTCAAGGTTATGGCAGTGACAAAAATGAAAAAAAACAGAATAAATGGAATCTCAGCTGATCATTCTAAACTTATACTCAGAGAGTAAATAAAGTCTTACCAACAGGCCTGGAACATGATGTCAAAACAATTTTTTGAATAAACATTTCCCTGTAGAAACCTAGAACTGGATAGTCCTTTATCCTGAACTTAGTACCTTAGACTTTCTATTTATAAAAAGTCCAACTAGCTACATAAGAGATTTCAACTGTCTCCTATCAGATGGTCTCTCAGAGGCCTACCCTTTAGCTTGTCTCATTTGGAATGTTCAGGCTATTTTCCATATCCCCCAGACCTAACTTTCCACCCCAACATTTCAACTGCACTATTTTAACAATCTTCAGAAAGAAAAAGGAAAAATTCTGTATGTACTCCACGAGTGTATCTAACTGTGGGCAAGATGCTCAAAGAGGGAAAGGCCAGGACACACAGTGGGTTAGAAATTTTGGCTTCGAGCCGGGCTTGGTGGCTCAGCCTGTAATCCCGCGCCTTTGGGAGGCTGAGATGAGTGGATTGCCTGAGCCCGCGGGTTCGAGACCCGCCTGGGCAACTTGGCGAGACCTCGTCTCTACAATAAGTCAAAAATTAGCCGGGCGTGGTAGCGCACGCCTGTAGTTCCAGCTACTTGGAAGGCTGAGGCGGAAGGATCACCGGAGCCCAGCGGGTCGAGGCTGTGCTGGCCGGGAGCGGCCACTGCACTCCGGTCTGGGCGACAGAGTGAGACTCCGACGCAAAAAAAAACACAAAAAACAAGTTTTGGCTTCGGTTTCTGGGGTTCTACTCTTTTCCTCCTCTACTTTGTCACAAACTAGCCCTGAATAAAAAACATCAAATCTTCGCTAGGAAAAGTGCAATGCAGAGCTAAGGAAAAGGTAAAAGAGATTGATACTGTGTGAAAGGAGAAAAAAGAAATTAACATAGCCCTAAAATTAAAAAAATAAGCTAAGGCCTTAGCATACAGATGAAGAAAACTGATAATGTATGTAACACAAAAAGGAAAATATAATAATTCTGTTAGAATATTTATAACAAGTAAGTAGCATACCCTGCTGAGTTTCCACCTCTGTCCTTAGCTGGAGGAGTTCTACTTCTTTAGATTGTAGCTGTTCGTTCAATATTTTCAAAGATTCAGAGTTGTCTTTATTCTAGTTAAGAAGGGAAAATGCCAAATTACATTCAACAAAATCTATAGGTTGGTATTATATAGTAATTTTCAGGTAGACATTGAAAAACTCATTCTAGCCTTTAAAAGCAAGGTAAGGAGAAAATGAGCTCAAGCTTCTCATGAATCTCTTTTTTTTCTTTTTGCTAGCTGAGGATATTATTATGCATTAGCTTTTTTTTTTTCTTTTTTAATAGCATAATGACTAATTCTATCAGGTCAAACTTTTTCAAAATAAGTTAGTGGTACTAGATGTATTCTTAAACATTATTACATACTAAGTATTTATTTTGTATAGAAGTAACAAATATTATTATTAAACTTTCCATTTTGACTTCAACATATACAAATGGTGCCAAAAAAATGTATATGCATCTTAAGAAAAAAACTGTATTAAAATTGTAATACTCAATAAGATGAATACAAGTCACATTTGGTCTCTGCAATTACAAGAGGTGTTCAAAGTAGTTGCCATCCAGCATCCAGACACTTCTGATTACAGTGAACAGCTCTTAAAATATGTGTACATTTTTGTAGCAACCCCTCGGTATATTTTAAATGTTTAATTACTAAATGCAAATACTTATTTCTAATTTTAAACTTCTTATATGAGAAAGACTCATTTGCAACATACAGATGTCATTCTTTTCAAACCAACTTACCATTTTATCCAATTTGCTCTTCAGATTATCTCTATCAATGCAAACTTCTCGATATGCATGATAGGCTTTATTTACTTGTTCTCGTCCTACAGAACTTGTTTCTTCATCTAATCGAGCTCCTATAAGCTAATGGCATGAAATTATACACATAAAAAATAAGTCAGACTTCTGATGGCTCCATGTCTTCTTACTTTAATTGTAATGCAGGGCTAAAGCCTGGATTATAATTAGGTGAACATTGAACTTGCATATAATTAATCTTTACTGACTAACAAAGCAAAAAAAGTACAGAATATTTTTAAAAGCCTTCTATTCTATGCTTTCACTTAATCAGTATTTTATACTTCATGTTATCTGCTTTATAGCATATTAAATTATCATAACTACAACAGAGTACGGTATTCTTCTGAAGTGTTTAGGTGCTTTCCAAGTCAATAGTATCTAATATCCAGGATTAGAAAAAGTATCACGTTAAGGCATACTTTCTAAGGAAAAGACATGCTAGTTTATCATTACAAAATAGGAATTAATAGGATTGCTGTGACAAAAAACAGAAATATTTCCAATGTTAAATATATACCAAATCCCATTTTCTACCCAACTTTAAAATAAAAATAGCAATGAGCTCCAAAATGTTCCCTTCTCTCATTCTAACCAGTATGTTACAAATTTACTTAACATTAAAGTAAAAAAAAAATCATATGAATACAAAGAAATTATGATTATTTTTACAATGAACTCTTTGCGTCTTGCCTCCCGAAAATAAACTGAATTATATCAGGTACCACCCTCAAGTTTTTTTATACAGGAAAATTCATTTCCCTTGCTGCTAAGAATCCATTTTCTTTACCCTTATGGAAGCTGCTATTTGTGAGAGTCAAATGCACTGATCTGATCTGAAGAAATATAAACTAAGCCAAGTTAAAACTTTAAAACTCAAAAATAAATGGATTTTGAAGAAGTTTCCCAACACATAAAACCAAGTTAGGTTTTGTGATCTATATTGAATAGGCTACCTTGCTATATATTCTATAACATTTAGGTATGTCACTATTACTTATGAAAATGTAAAGAGAAAACATTAATTTATCAGTCAAAAGTATTATTCCTATCAATGTGTTATATATATTTTAAAAAGGAATGTTGAGATCCTAGTGAAGATATTATTAAATGTATTAATGTATTATGAAAATGTTCCAGAAACTTCTTCCTTTGACACTTAATTTCCTTTGTGGGTATGTTATTTTCTGCACAGATTTTAAAATTCTGAATAAAATACATAGAGTTATACAGTGAGACAATCTGAAAAAAGAAGAAAGGAAATTATTTGGAATACAACTCATCCAAGTTGTTTAATCCTCTTTTACAAATATTCACCAAGCACATGGTGTGAAACACAGGAGGACAAGTAAAACATCTAGAGTTTTGAGATTAGTAGTGAGTAATCCTTGAAAATTTAGTATAAACAATATATTGAATTATTCATTATGACATGAAACATGATGGTAGAAAATAAAATTACCTTTTCTTCCAAAAATCTTATTCTTTTCTTTAACAAAGAGTTCTCTTTTTCTGAATCCTTAAGTCGTTTTTTGATGTCTTCATATGCAGTAACAAGGGCAAAATGAGAAGCCACAGACTCATCTCCTGAATATATTGAAACTGGAGTCACTGGATCTCTCTTTTCGTGATTCAGAATGCAGATATCATCTTCTACCAGTGCATCCATGACAGCTATTTAAAAGAAAATAAATATGAATGAATAAATGAGCAGGAAAAAAGGTATCTTTAGAATAATATAGCCGGGCTCGGTGGCTCAGCCTGTAATCCCGCGCCTTTGGGAGGCTGAGGTGAGTGGACTGCCTGAGCCCTCGGGTTCGAGACCTACCTGGGCAGGCGAGACCTCATCTCTACAATAAAATAAAAAATTAGCCGGGCATGGTAGAGCGTGCCTGTAATTCCAGCTACTTGGAAGGCTGAGGCGGAAGGATCGCCGGAGCCCAGCAGGTCGAGGCTGCGGTGGCTGGGAGCGGCCACTGCACTCCAGTCTGGGCGACAGAGTGAGACTCCAACTCAAAAAAAAAAAAAAGAATAATATAAATGCTGGGACAATGTTTAAATAGTCCTATTTCCTTCAGAGGCAGTACAGCATAGTGGTTAACATTATAGACTCTGGTATCAGACTGGTTTCTAATCTAACGTCTACCAGTTAGTGCTTGTATGACTCTGGGCAAGTTGCGTCACCTCTTTGCCTCAGTTTTCTTACTTAAAAGTACAGAAAAATCACAGCAAATACCTCATAAAGTCTTTAAAATATTAAATAAGGTCAGGTTTGGTGGCTCATGCCTGTAATCCCAGCACTTTAGGAGGCCGAGACAGGAGGACTGCTTGAGACCAGCAGTTCAAGACCAGTTTGGATAATATATCGAGACCCTTCTGTACAAAAAAATTTTTTAAATTAGCTGGGCATGGCAATGCATGCCTATAGTGGAGGCTGAAGCAGGAGGAGTTCTTGAGTCCTGGAATTCGAGGCTGCAGTAATCTATGATCATGCAATTATCACCCAGCCTGGACAACAGAGCAAGACCCTATTTTACAAAAAAAAAAGAAAAAAAGAAAAAGGATTTAAATAGTTTGATATCTATAAAGCATTTAAAGCCATAATCCAATATTAGTAAATTCTATATAAATCTGAAACATCACTTGGATTAAAACCATCAAAATGTTTAAATACTTTATGCCCACATTTCTACTTAGATCTATCAGTTGCCAGTTTATCATTCCCAAATTATAAATTTTCAAGAATTCTTTGAGCATAATTCATTACAACACATTATTACAGAAGTCTTAATACATACCCTACTATATTCTTTCCTTACTAGTAATTGTTTCTATATTATAGAAAGTAATTTCACATTCATGAGCTCATCACATTAATTTTGGAAAGTCAGATACAACATATTTATAGGCAAATATATCTATATGTAATCATGCAAATATTTTATATATGACAATTAAATTTTGTTTCATCTTAGAGATTTATTTAAATATAAATTAAAAAAGAATGAAAATACTGAAGTGAAAGATGTTGACAATTACTGTTGAAAACAGTGAAATTCCGAAGAAGATAACGGAGAAAGAAGGGCACAATCAGTGAGCTAAGGTGGGACAGAAATGAGAACAGTAGTACCTAAGGCTTGGGGAGAAACACAAGGAAAAAAAGATCACAACATTATTAAATCAGAATTTTTTTAGAATGTCTAAAATTTCAGTCTTTACCATAATCAACGTTGAAAGAACCTTCATTTCTACATTACTAGGGTTTGAGACACTAGGAAAAGTATCTTCTGACATCAGATTGATCTTTCTTCTAAAGTCTATAATACTCAACGATCTATTACAGAAACAAAGAACTGAGTACCACATGTTTTCACTCATAAGTGGACCTGGAACATTGACCGTAATAGTATAAAAAAGGGATTGGCAGTAGCGGGATACTGCTGGGGAAGGAAGGGAGGTGGGGAGGGATGAGGGAGGAACATCAATAAATAAAAACATCAATAAGGGTACCTGATTTCACACCAGGCAAAGTGGGACAAAACAAAGGTCCAAACTTTACCTGTAGGATAACCACTTGTATACCTAATCCTGAATTGTATCCCACATCATTAAAAATTTTTTTTAAATGTGATTATCCCACATTTACCATCTTTATATATATATATAATTTACTGATCACTTACCATATACCAGGTACTAATGCTATTACTTCTTAGGTAGGTATATTCTCAAATATAAACAAAGTCTTAGAAAAGCTAAGTACCTTACCTATAGCTACATAATTAGTCGGTGGCAAAGCCGAGATGTAAACCCTGCTAAGCTGTCTTTTAAATCTATGCTTTTAAAATAGCATTCTGAGAGGCAACACAAAAGAGATTCTGATTTTTCTAATAAGAATCTGGACAATGTATAACCCTCTGGTAGAAAAAACACTCACCCAAGATTCAGAAAAACAGATTCCAGCCTAGGATCTGCCACCCTGATTATAGATTAGTTCACTCCTCTCCCGACCTAAATTTTCCTACCTATAAAATGATGGGGTTAAGCCAAGCATGGTGGCATGTGCCTGCAGTCCCAGTTACTGGAGAGGCTGAGGTGGAAGGATTGCCTGAGCCCAGGATTTCAAGACTGCAGTGAGCCGTGACTGTGCCTCTATATTCCAGCTGGTGACAATGAGACCCCAACACAAAAATAAATAAATAAATGAAATGAAATGGTAGGGTGAGACTATATCACTAAGATGCCACCTTCTTAGATTGTTTGTGAAGGCAGAAGTTTCATCCAAATACACAACAGCAACCTACAATGTCTGCTTATCATAAATGTCTAGAAACAGAGTAAAAGGTAGGTATACACATTACCTCAAGTTCACACCACACTTGGTAAGAAAAGTAATATCACCACCCCAACAAGGAAACCGAGTCTAAAGAGGTGACATGAATATGCCTATAATCACAACAGCAGTATGTGACAAAGCTAGGGTTTGAATCAAGGCCTATATGGGAGACTCTGTATTCTACATTGCCTCCTGAAGTGAACCTTATTTAGAATTTCCATCAGCTTTCTACCTCTGAGAAGTGAGAATAGTCCACTTCATACCTCTAGTATTGTCAAGATACTAGGGAGCAAGAATGAAGTCTTAAGGAGGCGAAAAGATCAACATTCACTCTTCTTTCCTCTATCTGTAATGAATAAATTAGGTGCAGACACAGCCTAGCTAGTTCATAAAGAAGTGATCATCAAGTGCCTCTTTTTCAAGATGCTATCGTTTAATCTATGGACATTAGACAGTCAAATGCTCTGTAATTCAGTGAGTACCCCAAAATGTACTCAGCATCAAATACACGATATGAAAAACTCCATTTTCATTTTTATGAGTTATCCCACTAACTGCATTAGTCCAGAAATCAGTCTGTATGGCCGGGTGGAATCTTATGACTCTCAGGGTTAGCGCAGGTATGAAGGGCAGTCTACTTCTTTTCATTCCGTTCAAAAAGTAATACATCTCGGTGCCACTAGGCACCTATTACACATTAAATATTACTGATTTTTATCAATAGTTATTTTCCAACAGTAGTAAGACAACTATACCTCAATTCTGAATATACATGCCACAAAACAGAAAAAAGTAAGTTACATTTACATAGTTCTCTATCACTCCATGGGTTATAAAAAACTTCATTGTCTCATTTTACTTAATAATCATGACAATGTTCTATGTTGGTAATTAATAGCAATTGTTTATGGTATACCAGGCAGTAAGCTTCGCCTTTTAGGGGAACTATGCCATTTTTTCTTCATAAGAATTCATTAATCTACATAACACCTCTGAGGTGGGCAACTCTCCCCACATTACAGGTGGAGAAACTGAGACATGCAGACAATGGAAAATGGGGGAGGCAGGAATGAAAATCAGGCTGCTGACTCCAAGCCAGTCCAACTCTAAGAAACTGCTTTGGTGCGTTGGAAAGTATTACCTCCATTTTAGAGATAAGGAAAATGAGGAAGAAGTTCAGCCTCTTGCCCACTGTCAAGTGAACTAAATGGAAAATCCGCACTCCGATGGTGTTTTGACCGAATCCAGTGTCCTTTACAAACATTATCGCATTAAAATTTTGTGTCCATCCCATGAAGGATGCACCATTGCCAATTTACACATGAAGGAATGACGGATAGTAACAGACTGGGCAATTTGGCATGATGTTTTTAGAGAACCGGAATTCAAACAATGCCTTGAGATCTTGCTCAATCCAATGCAAAATTCCATCAATAAGACAGAAAGTGTCTTCCGTGCTTAAGGAGCAAGGGTCAATTTTAATCCTGGTAGCCTATGCCTTTGATCACCTTAGCATGTCTCCAATACGTCCTGGGGCAATTTTATGTGTTGACTTGTATTACGGTTTCCGTGGGTATTTTAATCTCACTTTTGAGGGTAGAGTTTCTTGAGCGTGGGGACGAGGGCGTTGGCCTATCTTGCATGTAGTAGTCACTCAACTGAAAACCGGGCTGAATACCGTACACAAGGTAGACACTGAAGAAACGACGAATGCCCACTGACAGCCCTCGCAGAAGGGCAGGGGGTCAATATGCACTGCAAAGATGTCCTGGGCAGTGCTGTCCTCACTACAAGTCCCTCTTTCCTTTCCGTATAAATGACATCTCAATGAATGGGGAAAAAAATGAAAATAAAACTAAGGGCGCCCCGGTCAGTGGGCGCACGGAGAAGCAATGAGCAACAGGGAGAAGTAAAGTCAAGGATCAGGAAGGGCCTGGAGCAGCTGCGGTGTGGGGGTGCAGGGGCAAGGGATGCCCAGGGGTGGGCCGCTCCCGAGGCCAAGGAGGGGGGGCGCGAGAAACATGACGTGTCTCTTTGGAGCGGCCACCGCACCGCCCGCACCCGTGTCCTCGGCCCGGCCCCAGCGAGTCACTCACCCCGAAGCCAGGCTACGGAGGGCCGCCCCCAGGGCCGCCGCGTTCCGATTCCCCAGTGTTTGGACACGGACCGAAAACAAACAGGGTCGCCAGGGGTCACCGCGGGCTTCCGGTTTCCTGGAAGGCACCGCCGCTTCCCCAGCGAAGACAGCCGCTCCGAGGGCGCCGCGGGGGGATTCCCATCTCTTCTGTCTCGGCTGCGCCAGACCCGGCACCGCCC